AAACCCTGTGAAATATGACTACGCATTTTACAAATGAGAGAATTCATATTCACAAGATTAAGTAGCTTACTCAAAGTCACAAAGGGATTCAGAAATGGGATTCAAAGGCACATAATCAGACTACCTAATAGTAAACTTCTATTTTCTAGTAGCCACAATTAAAATTGTAAAAACTTAAGATTAATTTCAATTATGTAGTTTATTCAACCCAACATAACCCATATATTATTATACGTTCAATATAAGGGGAAAACAATGCCCCCACCCCCGGCTCATACTACATCCTGAAAAAGTACATCATGCTTTGTAAAGTAGAGGGTCAGCAAAAAATAGGAAGACCTTCAACTGGATTGATTGACCCAGTGACTGCAACAATGGGCTCAAACTAAATAATTATAAACATGGTGCAGGGGCAGACCGTGGTCCGGGGTCTTGCTGGCAGGTGTTGGAGTCGAAGGCTAAGGAAATCCTGGAATGAGAAAACCTTGGGGCCGGGAATGGCGGGGCAGGGGGACCTGGAGCTGGGAATGGCGGGGCAAGGGGAAGGGAGCAATAAAAAAATTTTAAAAACATGGTGCAGATCTGAGTAGCATTTCATACAGCTATGAGTCAGAATCTACTCAACAGCACCTAATAACAGCAAACACTGAAATCCAGTGTGTATTTTATACTTAGAGCCCCAATGGAATAGCCATCTATCAAGTGTGCAATAGCGACATCTGGCTAGTGGTTACCATATTGGACTAAAGGACAACACAAGTCTATAGAATGCGCTGCAAATTAACAATCTGACACAAAATAGGCAGATTAGAAATTAATGAACAGAATAAAATGAACTTTAAAAATTTATCTACACCTTTACTAGACACTGAGTTATTTTATCAAATTTTTCAGGTTCAGATGGAACTGATTCTGACAAACTGAAACATCAACTATAACCCAAGGGAATTATGAGGTCAATGTTGTTAAGTGCTGCTGAGCTGGTTCTGATTCAAAGTAACCCTGTATATACAATAAATAGGAAACACGGCTTTGTCCTGCACCATCCACACAAGTGTTAGGCTTGAGTCCACTGTTGCAGTCACTAGAGCACATAGCTGCGGTCACTGTCTTTTTCCACAGACCTTCTACTTTACCAAGTACTGTATGTCCTTTTCTAGGGCCTGGTCTCTCCTGATAAACATATCCAAAGCAGGTGATAAGTAAGTCTCACCATTCTGGATTGTAAGAAGCATTCTGACCATACTTCTTTAAAGACAGAGTTATTTGTTCATCTAGCATTACAACAATAACTAAAAAAAACGAACTCGCTGACATCCATTTGACTTCTACTCTTGGTAAACCTACAGGGCAAGGTAGAACTACCCTGTGGGTTTCTGAGACTCTTTGGAGTAGAAGGCTTCACATTTCTCCTGCAAAGTAGCTGATGGTTTAGAAATGTTGACCTTGAGTTTAGCAGTCCAATGCATGCTACGTCTCAGTAAACCAATAGGTTGTGGTTCCTCTCAGATACAAATTTATATAAAAATAATCTTTCAGAAGGGGACACACAAAATGAGAAAATATTTAAAACCAATTAGATACTTCTGCCCCTTAATAGTCAAAGGGTAAATGCAGACTAAAAAGAAAGATTTAGAGTACCAGTAAATTTAACCAATTTACTCATTCAAACAATTAAATATTAAAAACTCTGCTACAGTCATTTCTGACTCAAAACCCAAACCAAACTCACTGCCATCAAGTAGATGCCAACTCATGAAGACCTGTAAGGCAGAGTGAACAACTGCCCCATGAGTTTCCAAGGCTAACTCTTTACAGGAGTTGAAAGCCTCATCTTTCTCCCTTGGAGCCACTGGCGGTTTCTGAACTGTGGCTAGCAGCCCAACACATAACCACCAACGTACCTTTTCTGGCTCACAGGTATACATAAAGTGAATTAATACTGTACTATTTACAACTTCAGTATGCCCAACAATTTCACAATCCTCTTTGTATACGTGATTATTTTGGTGGAATTATTTTAGGTTAATTACAATTTATTGAGGACGGACAACAGAAAAGTGGATGAAGGGAGACATCAGACAGGGCAAATATGACAAAATAATAATTTATAAATTATCAAGGGCTCATGAGGGATGGGGGAACGGGGAGGGAGGGGAAAAAAAGAGGACCTTATGCCAGGGGCTTAGGTGGAAAGCAAATGTTTTGAGAATGATGGGGGCAATGAATGTACAAATATGCTTTACACAACTGATGTATGTGTATGGATTGTGATAAGAGCCCCTAATAAAATGATTAAATAAAATTAAAAATTATAATTTTTCTTTTCAGATCAGTCACTAGCTCAAAAAATATTTTCCACCTAGAGATTAAAGAAATAATTTCTTAAAAGAATCAAAAGAAGAGATCAGGTTATAAGTCAGTTACATAAAATCATAGCTATTTAAAGACTGACTATACTTCTCCAATTGCTAAGAGCTAATGCCTAAAAGAACAGTTTTTACCCTTTATTCAAAATATGAAATGTTATATTCAAAAGTCCTAATTGACAGTGGGAGGAGGGGGAAATCAAACTTTCTAATTTTAAGCATACTAATTATGGGGTGGAGGATTGGGGGGTGTATTAAGACCAGGAAAAAAAGTACAGGGATGAAGTATTACTTAGCAGGCACATATTAATATTTAAGAGGGAGCTCCCAAATTGACAAGTGTAAGTGCTATAATGTTTCTGTTTTAGCTTTCACTACTATCTCCAATAAGGCACTCTGGTAGCACAGTGGGTTTCCAAAGGATTGGCAGTTCAAACCTGCCAGCTGCTGAGGGAAGAGAAAGCTGCTACCGGCTCTCAAAAAGGTTTTAAGTCTCAGAAACACACAGGGGCAAGCAATTCTAGTCTGTCCTGTAAAGTCCCTATGAGTTGGAATCAACTGGATGGGCAGTTTGTTTTTTCCTTAGGTACTATTAGGAACCCTGGTGTCACTGTCAGTTAGGTGTTGGGGCGTTAACGCCAAAGTCGGGGGTTCCAACACACCAGGGCTTTCCTGGCAAGAGATGAGGCAGTCTGCTTTCACCCTATGTAAAAACTCTACCCTGTCCTGTGGTAGTCAGTCAAAATTAACTCAAAAGCTGCAGTCTTAGTTTCTCAGTTAGTATGTCTTATTAAAAATTACCTATCAGAATACAGGGGCCATAACTGGAAACAAATCTTCAGTCAAAACTCATTTAAATTACATGGGTTTGAAGGATTATACACAAGGGTGTTTCAAAAAGTTTGTGATGAAACAATATAAAAAGATAATGGAACTGTTCCACAATTTTTTTGAAGGCCTGTTGTATATTTTCTTCCGAAAAAATTACTGCATAGAATCTATTACCTTCACAATTTTCACATTCAAGTATTAAAGGTTTAAATTTTCCCTCAGTAAACTGTGAGCTTTGAATTTAATTTTAATAAAATGTATCAGCAAATATGATCTTAATCACATCAGGCATAGAAGTGTCGTAGTCTGCAACCATTTTATAAATAAAAAAGGTTTTGTCACTAATCATCTGTGAGATTTTGTTCAAGTCATAATTCTCCATGTCTTAGTTATTTCACCTTACTACATAATTCTGTAATTCTAAATTTTAAGTGCTCTAATTACCAGGCATTTAGCAACAGATTTTGTTTTAATTAACCCAAAAGGTTGTAAGCCATAAACACTAAATGCAATCCATAAATAAGCACAGATGGTTATAGGCCAGTGTGAATGGCTTTACCCAAGAGTATTCTTAACCCAACCAGTTTCACAAATTTAGGTTCCGTAGTCACAAACAGAACCCAGCCAAAAGAATACAAAAGATTCAACAGTCCACTGCCAATATTGGGGTGGAGGGGCATTCATATTTGTAACTGACAATGTGTCCAGGCATTTCGTGTTAGGGTATGGCTTACACACATCATCCTTTAAACATATAATTTTCTCTTAAGCCATGAAATCATTTCGGAGCCCTTTCGAAAAGTCAGTTCCTTTCTTCCAACAATTCAAGCTGATTGATGGATAATGGGTACACACTGGGCTGCTGGGCAACAGTTCAAGTCCACCAGCCAATCTGAGAGACAAAGAGGAGGCTTTCTATAGGTATAGAGAGTTACGGTCTGGGAAACCTAATTTTCGTTACGGGTCAATGCATGGTTTGCGAGGTTAATGCATGTCTCCTTTAAGAAAGATCACCATTCCTCACCCCAACCCCTTGTCATTAGACATCTTGAGAAATCATTTTCCTGATAATTCTACTAATTTCTCATCATCAATTAATAGGCACATTCTCAATTATTTCCATTTTTCTCACAACTTACATTGGTCCATTTGAAACATAAAGTTTAAACCAAGCTCTGAATCAGGCTTAGCAAAGTGTTCCACTTTAAGATACACCATGACAAAATAAACATATCCAACATCTATTTTTAGAGTAGCATTCACTCTTCCCGTTTTCTCTTTTAAAATGAGATCTACTTGACCTATTTTCATGTGTTTTCAGAGCACTCAGCCACACAGTGCCAAAATATACTTGATCATAAAGTAAACCTAACATCATAAATCCTGTGTTGTGTGGGCTATTTCCTGCATGTGTTCTACTTGCTACATCTTTTAAGTACAGATTCACTTATTGAACACAAACCGTCTTCAATTTCCGAAATTGTAACAACTTTATAGACCACGGCACACTTTTATACCCTACTTAAACACTAAACACAATGAGGGAAAGGCACGACTTGGCACCTAAAATCGTCAGCCATACAAAGACAAAGCGTTTTTCTAGCCTCTATTAGTCTTCTTCTCCTGAGTTCCACAATAATGCAATGTTGCAAAAATGATACTGAGCAAAAGGATACTTTCGAAACTTGAGCAATAAGTGCTACCTAAAATGACAAGGAGAACAAAACCAGGCGAAAGCGGGTAACTATAAATCCAGTTGCCGGAATGTGTGTGGTAAACTTACACTCCTGGAGGTTTTACCTGCAGAGAGCTCTCTGTTCCATCTCCACATTTCGCAACCTTCCTTCAGAAGCCTTCAGAAAACAAAACAACAATGGAGGAAGATCGCGGCTTTCTGATGGGATGGGGGTTAAGGATAGAACTCTGCCCCCACCAACAAGAACAAAGCAACAGTGTGCGCTTTTAGAACACTTTGGTGTGGAGCCTCAAAGGGTATTCGGAGAGATCTCCAGTTGCCCCGAAGCTTAATTCCCGTGAAACCAAAGATCTAGAAATGTGCACTGTCGGAGATGAACAGCTGTCTTCGAACGCATCTGGGTCTTATGCAGGAGGAGAGACAGAGACTCTGGTGAAAAACAAAACAGATTCGATGCGGGGTCTGTACACCCAGGCCTCGGTGGGACCAAAGGCCTAAGTGGTGGCCTCCACACGGAAAACAGGGCGCAAGTTCTCCTCCAAAACACCACCCCCGAAGCTTTGCGGCCTGACACCACCCCCAAGAGGAGGAGGCAGGGGCCCGGCCAGCGCCAAAGACCACGACGCGGACCTTGGCGGAAGGGGCTGCGTAGTAATGGCCGCGGCTACACCTCTCGCACCCCGACCAGCTCGGGGCCGTCGCGCAGGGCAGGGGCTGCGGCGGCCCCGGGTAACGCAGAGGCCTCCAGTCTCCGTGCTGCGACAGCAGTCACGGCGGGGGCGGGCGACAGGCTGCGCTGTCCCCAGCCGCCTCCGTTCGGACGGCCGAGGCCGCGCCGGCGCAAGGGCGTCAATAAACGTCCCGGCCCCGGACCTCGCCGCCGCCCCTCCGGCCCCGGGCGCGGGGCAGAGGCAGAGTGGGCCGCAGCCGGGGGTGACACTGCAGGTTAGCCCTCCTCGCCCCGAGACACGGTCCTGGAAACGCCACTCTCCGCTCTACCCGCTAAGGACGGCTTCGCCCGGGTTCCCACCTCTTGGCCACCACCGCGTCCACCTCGCAGTTCTTTCTCTTCAGCCTCAGAGCCCGCAGCGGCCGGGGACGCGCGCGAACGTCACGTGACCGCCCAGCGCGTCGTGGGGGCGGGGCCGCGCGAGGCGGAAGCCGCGCCGCGCAGCCCGGCTCGCGCCACACGTCTCCGCCCCGCTGCTCCAAGCCCCGCCCCCGCCTTCCTCGGGGGGGATGGGCGGTGGTGTGGCCTGGGGACTGCCAACCTCTTGTTTATAATTAGGTTCAGGAGCCTCTGAAACAGCCACGGGGACGTTCTGGTTGGAGGAAGTGGGTCATACATAGACCAGTAGGAGGTGGCTGATCAGAACCCCAGCCTCGTCACCCGGAGCAATTCTTGAACACCTAGCTCGCCCCGAGTGTGAAATGCCCTTCGCAGAAGTTCTGTTTGGTTTCTTTCGGGAGGGAGAAAAAACAGTCATTTCAGGCGCTCCAATTAATCCACCTTCTGAATCGCTGAGCAGTTTAATGTGAAGTGGAGGGGAGAAATGTGGATCTTACTGCCTGTTTGGCCCTAATTCTCTTAACAGAAAGAGATTAATTAGCATTCTGAAAACAAGTCCCAAGGACCTTATAGGACAGAGTAGAATGGGCCCTAGGGTTTCCAAGGATGTAAATCTTGAGGGAAACAGGCTGTCACATCCTTCTCTATGGAGAGCTGGTGGCTTCAAACTGCCTACCCCGCCGACCTTTCAGTAGGCAGGCAAGCGCCTTAACAATTGTGCCACCCAAAGCAACATGCACGGCCCTGGGGTTGAGTCCAACTGAATCTGTGCAGGAGCAGTCAGTCTCCTCTTTCTCCCTCACTTAGACTGGTAGGTTTGAACCTCCCACCTTGAGGTAGCAGCCCAATGCTGACCCCATGGAGCGATCAGGCCTCTTTCGTCAGTCTATAAAAGCTGTGGATTTGAAATAGATTTTTTTTAATAGCATGTGTATGATTTTAAACATCAAAACTATTGGCAAAGACTTGATTTTTATTTTAACATGTGCCTTCAACCCTTTTTTGGAATTGACTAAATTGTCTTAATTTGTAGCAAAATAAAGCGTACAGAAGGGAGTGCTTTCTATCTTTAAAATATACTTCAGCTTTCCATGGCAATGGTATTTCACTTGGAGATTTTATTAGCTACTGTATTCAGGCTTGAAACTTCAATGTTCTTTTAGATATGTAACTGTAGTATGCACATTCCCTTTTATTTCTGTGAATTCATATATATAATATATATTCAAGTTGAAAGATATGATGCTAATATTAATTTACAGTGTAACAGACATTATTTTAAGTGCTTCATACCTCCTATAAGGACATAGTAATGAACAATGGTGCAGATACTTTTTTTCCCCCACTGTTACAGACATTGGCACAATGGAACAGGCAGAAGCTGGTAGACATGTGATTTGTAAGAGGGACTTAGTGTATCTAGTCCAATGCTCTGTCCCAATTTAGGACACATATAAGAAGGTTAAATGGCTTCCTCAAAAATCTTGACAGAAAAACATTTGGACCAGATGACAAATGTATCTCTTGGTTCATAAATACTTTTAGGAAAATTACTGAGTTCTTCAAAGTATTCATCCATGTACAAACGGATAAATAATAACTGCTAGTTACAAGAATGGCCATGCAAAACCACCCAGAGGCTCCTCAGGGACTGCCCCGATCCACTCCAGAAAGGTCACAGCTCACCCTTTGCTCTCGTGGGAATGGACCCCATTGCAACGAACAAGACTGTCGGTCCTTCAGTTTCACGACGTTCGTCTTCTAGAACACGTTCTCTAAGAGGGAACGTACTGTGCCATTCAGGTAAAAGGGGCCTTCAAAAAAGTGCATAGTAAAGTTCCATTACCTTTTAAATCTATTTTCCCAGGAACTTTGTAAAACCTCCTCATAAAACCCACATGGTATTAGGTATCATAAGTAATCTAAAAATGGTTTAAAAGTATAGAACACGTGTATAGTCTGTAAGCAATCACTTTGACATTTAGGGGAGGAATTTGAGCATTCACATATTTTGTTATTGGTGAGGATGTCTTGAAGTCCATCCTCCACAATACTGAGACAAGTGTATATACATTAAGTATGGATTAATTTCTATCAATCTTATAGTGAAAAGTATTAGCTACTCTATAATCTCCAAAGTCTATGCTTGAGTTATTAAACAAAATGACCTCTCAATGATCTGGGTTGGTTTTTTTGTTTTGTTTTGTTTTTTACATAATAGTGTTATTTTTAATTCAGAATATTATTTTAATAAACTCAATAGTGTCCCTTATCACGTAAAAAGGCACGTATAATTGTAAAGGCAGAAATTATGTTTTACAATGCCAAGTTCTCAAAATGCTTAGGATTTAGAAATGAATGTTATTTTATAATCATAGAATAGGTGCTTACAAAAGGGTATGCATACAAAATACCCATGTAGTGAAATTATAGCCTAGACATTTGAACTATTTTCATGGACATAGTCCAATTGGGAGGCAATTTTGGAAACAGAAACTATCCTAAGTATTTCAAACAAAGAAACTTTGATGTGGTTATTTGCAACAGCATTAGAAACCTGAAGGGATGAAAAGAATATGAGCATGACCAGAAATCAGTAACTGCAGAAAGCTGTTGGATGGAGAGTGAAGATTGTACTAGGCCCCCTGGAGTTCACCAGCACATTCCCAGCCAAGGTTACTGGAACGAGTTCTGAATGGCTACAGTGGGGATACTAACATCCTAAAGGGCCCTGGAAGGATCCCCTGGTGGCATAGGGGTTACACATTGGGCTGCTGACTATAAGACAAGCGGTTCCAAATGGAATGAGTGAGTGAATAATTGAGAGTGTGCACCATTGAAGGAGCCCTGGTGATGTAGTGAGGTAACATTGTTTTGCGATGCTAACTGCAAGGTTAGCAATTTAAAACTATCAGATACTCCAAGAAAGATGAGGTTTTTTGCTACTTAAAGATTAACATCTCCAGAAAACCATCAGAGTTGGACTCTATTCTGCTCTGTAGAATTTGAGAGAGTTCAAGGAGCCTTGAAATGCTGATGGCTGTCAGGTAAGCTTGGACTGCTAACCACAGGGTAGACAGTCAAAATCATCAGCTGCTTCTTGGGAGTAAGTTTAGGCCATCAGTTCCCATAAATATTTACAACCTCGGAAATCCTATGGCCATTATGAATCAAAATCAACTGGATAGAGGTGCCCTTAGCACTGAATAAGTGTTGTGAATAAGCTTAGGCACTTTGGGCTAAACTTGTAGCTGCTAATCTATAGGGGATCAGTTTGAACCCAGCTGCCTCTCCCGAGGAAAAAGTTGAGACTGTTTGCTCCTGTAAGGATATACAGTCTGCCCCTCAGGACCAATAATGAGAGTAGCGATACCAGGAGGGTCAGGGGAATGTGGGGGGAGAAAAGGGGAACCAATTTATCACAATGATCTACATATAACCCCCTCCCTGGGGAAAGGACAACAGAAAAGTGGGTGAAGAAGACATCAGTCAGTGTAAGACATGAAAAAAAAAAGATGAATTATCAAGAGTGAGGGAGGGAGGAAGGATGGGGGAGCGTGTGGGTGGTGGTGGAAATGAGCTGATACCAAAGGCTCAAGTAGAAAGAAAATGTTTTGAAAAGGATGATGGCAACAAACGTACAAATGCACCTGACACAATGGATGCATGTATGTAGTGTCATAATACTGTATGAGCCCCCAATAAAATGATTTTTTTAAAGGGATATGCAGTCTGGTAGGTGTTAGTTTAAAATGGAACACCTTATCATTTGATCTTCCTTTTGACCCATTTGAAAGTTGTTTCAGTTTTTAATATTTTCTGCTTTTTTTCACTTGGGGTTTTTCTGCTTTGTTTTGTTTTCATTGCTTGTTTCATGGCTTTTGTTTTGTATGGTTTTCTATATAGGCATTCCAGGATAGATTAATTTATAGAGACAGTAAGTGAATTTAAAATTACCTAGGGCATGGCAGAGGAGGGTGTGGGGAAATGAGCAAACAGTGAGTACAAGCAAGAAGAAAATGTTCTGAAATTGATCGTGGTAATGATTGCATAACTCTTCTTAATATGATTGAACTAGTAAATTGTGTGGTATGTGAATGATACATATGCCAAGAAAACTTAAAAACAAAAAGATATAGTCTTGGAAACTGCTGTAATATAGGGTCTTGGTGAGTCAGAATTGACTTGATGGCAGTGAGTATGGGTTTGGTTTGGTTTAATGAGTTGGAATCAAGCAGTGGGTTTGGTTTGGCTTTAATGTGTATGAGGCTGCGAAACCAGGAACCCATGATCACCAAGTCATCTACCAGTGCAACTGCCATGGCCAGAAGAAAACAAATCAGTCTTCTTTCTACTTAAGTGTGCCGTCCACTTCTGTTTGTTTGGCAGAAACAAACAGAAAACTCACTGTCAGTGTA